GAGGAGTTCTTCCATGTCATTGTTGTTGAGTTCTGGTGGCTGATTTTCTTTTTGTGGAGTGTCCTTCCCCTGAGGGCTTGCTTGGTTGTTTGTATTTTTCCTTCTCCCTGTTGTTTGTTTCCTTATGTGTTCTATGTTTTGGGAGAGTGTCCTGCTGTGACTAGTGGGCATCTCGTTGGAGTACTCCTTCTGGGATGTACTCCCTCTCTTGCCACAATGGCACCTGGTGTTTATTTTCCCAGTTCCTGCAGTTGGCCTTGGTGGCAGAACACCCTCTCAGCTCCCCTTTCTTTTTTCTTTATGTGAGTATGTATTGTTATATATTTCCTTCTTAGTACAGCTTTTGATGCATCCCATAACTTCTTGTGGCTCATGTCTTCATTTTCTCTTACTTCTTTTACTTCTTTATTAATCCAGTGGTCTTTCATTGGGTCTTCATTATCCAAATGGTCTTGGAGGGTATGTTGTTTTTTCTCCATGCATTGGAAGTTTTCCCTCTTTTCTATTTGTAGTTGATTTCTAGTTTGATACCTTTTGGTCAGAGAAGATAGTTGGTTTGACTTCAGTCTTTGACTTTGTTGATACTTGCCTTGTCCTAGTATGTTGTCAATCCTTGAGGATGCCCCATTTGTACTTGAGAAAATATGTATTCTGCTTTTTTTGTCAATAAGTAAAATGTTAATGTACTTTGTTTTTTATTTATTAAATTTATTTATATGTACTTTACGTCATTGTTCATTTTGTACAATATTTGCTTTCTCTTTTCATGTGTAGTCCCTGTAAAATTCCCACCAGCAATTCACCCATGCACCATCACCATAGTCTCTTAAGTTCTTCCTTCCCCTGTTTTGATTGCTCTTCCGTATTCTGCTTTTTTGAAGTTCAGTGTGTTATTAGGTTCATGTGGTCTAATTCTTAATTTAAGGCCATTATTTTCCCCTATATTTTCAACCTAGTTGACCTGTCCAGTGGTGAAAATGTGGTGTTGAAGTCTACCACAAAATTTTTTTCAATGTTATTTTCTGCATTGATAGTAGTTGCCTGATATATTTTGGCGTTCCTTCATCTGGTGAAGATTCATTGATGAGTGTTATGGTCTCCTGATACATTGTTATCTTATTTATTATAAAGTATCATCCTTGTCCCTTGTTAACTTTTTTAAGTGGAGGTCTATTTTGTCTGATGTAAGTATGGCAGTCCTGACTTTCTTTGGGTCTCATTTGCTTGTAGAATTTTTTTCCCAACTTTTTACCTTGAGTCCATGTTTATATTTCAAGCTCTGATATGTCTCCTGGAGACAGAAGAAAGTTGGATTCTGTGTTCTATTCCAACCAAATATTCTGTGTATTTTATTTATTTATTTATTTTTTATTTTTTTTAATTTTTTTAAATATTTATTTATTTATTTATTTGTACAAGCACTGAGTACAGTCAGAAGTGCGGGAGGGTGAGAGAATTCACCAGAGCCAGAGCGGGAGGCAGAGCAGACAGAAGGACCGAAGTACACTGCTGAGGGGAGCAGCGGGCGGCAGGAGAGGTCTGCGCGCCACGTGGGACCCTCCTCTGGTGGCCAGGGAGCAGCCGGGGATTGAACCGGCGGGGCAGAGGCTGCGGGCAGCTTCGCAACCCAGCGCTCAACTGCTGTGCCACCGGGGAGGCCCGTATTCTGTGTATTTTAATTGCTGAATTCAGTCCATTAATATTTGGAGTGATTATTGACATCTGAAATGTTATTGCTGCTATTTTATCTTCAAATTTGTGGTTGTATTCTATTTCCTTTTTCTGTTCTGTGGGCATTTAGGCCTCAACTTGGTTCTGACAGTAGGTTTCCTTGTTAATATATCTTGGGGGGAGGTTTAGTTTTTACAAAGCTTCTGTTTATCTTAGGAAGCCTTTATTTCCCTTCATATCTAAAGGAGAGCCTTGTAGTATAGGGTATTCTTTGCTGGCATTTTTTAATCTTTAAGTTTTTTTATTACATTTTTCTATTTTCTCCTTGCCTGCAGTGTTTCTCAAAAAAGTCCAATATTCATCTGATCAGGTTTCCTTTGTAGGTTATCTGCCACCCATTGCTTCTATGCTAACAAGTCAGGAATAGTTAGAAATAAAATTAAGCAATTACAAGAGGAACTAGAACACCGGAGAAAAAAGCTAGAAGACAACAATGCATTTCTTTGGGAAGGCTTAGGAGGATGGCTGCCCTATCTCTTGCCTCTTCTGGGCCCAGTCGTTACCCTCTTCTTAATTCTGTCTATCGGGCCCTGTGTCATTAATCGACTCGTGGCCTTTATTAAACAACGGGTAAACACGGTCCAGTTAATGGTGCTGCGCTCCCAATATGCCCCCTTACGCCAATATAACTCTCCCCAACAACCCCTTAAACAGGACCCCTCCCAATACATAGGAGTGGAGCCCTGACTGTTTCCCCTCATCGCCCACTTTCAGCAGGAAGCAGTTACTGATCAGAACGACGCCCCTTTTCCCTGACTGCAGTTAGGGGCTCCATTCCCAAAAAGGGAGGAATGAGACATAGGGCGAGTTAGGGTGATTAAGCAAGTTTCAGGAACAGTACAAAAGAGGACCTCTAAGGAGTTTAGGAAGGCTTCAGGGATAAAAACAACTAAAGAAACATCTCTTGTTTAAGCAGAGTAATTGTCATTTGTGGCTGAGAACTTTTGCTGGACCTATAACCCTGTGAATGAACAACAAAATGACACATAATGTGACTAAACGTAACCATAATTCTGAGACTGACTAACTGATAAAAGGCTTGGTAGCTGTGTTATTTTCTTAACTGACTAGCCGTTTTTTTTTTCAAAAAAAAAAAAAAAAAATGGGGAAATGTGGAACCAAGCTTAGCTGAGGTTTCGCCATTTTGTATATCCTCCACCTTGATATGTTAGTCCTTGTCCTGCCGCATTCCGGAGATAGCTTCAGCAGTCACAACCCTCACTCCACTTGGTGACGAAAAAGCAGACCACCCCAGCCACCAATGAGGGCAGTCCTGTCCATAAATGGGACAGCATCTCTAACCGTCCAATCAGTTTGAAACTGTAACCGCGCGCGCCCAAAGTGCCTTTGTAGTAGCCAATGAATAATTGCCAACTTCTTTCAAAGTTCCCGCCACTCGCGACCCTATAAGATGTCCCAGCTTCCTCTGTTCGGGGCTCTCGACCTCTGCCGTTGCATCGGTGCTTGTCGAGGGCCCGGTCTCGAGCCCGTATTAAACTCCTTTGTGCCCTTGCATCGGTTGTCTGTGTCCTTGGGGGCTGCACTGGTCGACGTGGGCACAACAGTATCTCTTTCCCTTCTATGCTATCCATTATTCTGATATATCTTTCCTCATGGAGTCAGTCTTTATTTCTATTTTTCCTGTTTCTTTTCTTGCTTCTTTTTGTAAGTGCATATATATGTTCACTGATTTGCCCTTCCATTTGGATTATTATACTTCCATTGTTTTCCACAGTACTTTTTATTTCTTCCATTAATTTTTTTAAACATCTTGATACTCTTATTTTCTACTTAGATTATCATTTGGATCTTCTATTTATTGATGTTCTTTCTTAGGACATACATTTATTTTTCTGACTTTTCTTGCATATCTTTGATTCTCATTCTCTGTCTTCTCTGTATTCTTTGAATTTCTTTATAATGGCATGCTTTAATACTGTATGTGATAGGAGAAACTCATTTTTCATATCTTTATGATTGGGTTCTATTTCTGTGGTGTAGAATTCATACAGCTTTTTGTTGAGTTTTTCTGTCTCCCCATTCTTTGCTTTCAGGGCTATGTTTTTGTGTGTGTGACTTCTACTGATCTTGCTATTCCCCACATGCTGGTCTTGGATGCTCACTAGTGGGGGCTGGGAGTCACTGGTAGTGGGTAGGGTATTGGATGGCCTTGACTGTGGCATGAGTCACCTCCTGATGTATGGAAGCTGGGCCTGGGCTTATGATACTCATTCATGGGTGTATGGTTGTTGCTGGTCTAGGTAGAACCTGGGTATTCTTTTTTTTTAAACATTTATTTATTTATAGAAGAACTGGGGTACAGGCCAGATGTGTGAGAGGGTGAGATGGGTCACGTGGGTACCGCATCATGTGGGTATCTCCCAGGCCGGCCTGGATCAAACCCTCACTGCAGAGGATGTGGACAGCTTCACAGTGCTGCAGTCAACTGCCTGCGCCACCAGGAAAGTCCCTGGGCATTATTGACTGGGGTATAGGCATCCGTGGTATTGGCTGCTGGATCTGGGGTTTCAGGTGCTCCATGTTCATATTTGGAGCTCACTTGGGTCTTTAAGGCAACAGAAATTTGGGTTTTGTTTTCTGATTCACCTAGCCTTTCTGTGCCTTTTTTTTTTTTTTTTTTTTTAATACAAGCACTGGGTATAGTCAGAAGGGCGGGAGGGTGAGAGAATTCACCAGAGCCAGAGCAGGGAGCAGAACAGGCAGAATGACGAAGTACACTGCTGAGGGGAGCAGCAGGCGGTAGGAGAGGTCTGCGCCCCATGTGGGACCCTCACCCAGGGGCCGGGGATCGAACTGGCACTGCAGAGGCTGCAGGCAGCTTCGCAACCCAGCGCTCAACCACTGCACCACCGGGGAGGCCCCTTTCTGTGCCTTTTGATTGGTGAGTTCAGTTCATTTACATTCAGAGTTTTTTTTTTTTTTTTTGGATATGTGAGTATTTGCTATAACCATTTAATTTTTAATAATCTGTTTCAGTCTATTTAGTTCCTTATTTGATTTTTCTGTGGATTCGCTGTTGCATTGATTTAGATAGGAGTGCTCCTTTCAACATTTCTTATAAGGAAGCTCTAATGTTTGCAACACCTTTGTTGGCTTCCTTCTGTAGCCATGTTTTGTTGTTGCTGAGTCAGCAAGTCTAGCCTCTGGTGCAAATGTGCTGGTAGGGAGTCGAATTTGTTCATGCTTGTGACATCATCCATCTCCTTTGCTTTCAGAGTTCCAGATATGAGACTCCAAGTCTCTGTGATGTAAGTGTGCTTCATGAGGTCAGGAACAGCCTGGAAGGATTGGAGAGAGAATCCTGTGCTGAACACCTTGTTTGTTCTCTTCCTTACGGAAACTGGCATGTATGGAGCACCCCAGTTCTCAGTATGTGTTTCCCATTAGTCAGTGTTGTGTCCTCCATACCTTTTCCTCTTTTGCTTTCTAAGGGCCATAGCTGAGCCAGAATCCCTAATGTCTGAGTCGTTCACCTCAGGGACATATCTCCAGGTATTTTTTCTCCCCTAATTCCAGTTCAGTGAATGTGACTCCTCTGTGTTTCTTCTGTACCATCTGTGTTGGTCTCTGATTTTCAAATTGTATCCCAGTTTTGCCCCATGCCATAGCATTTTCTGGGTATACTGTCTCTCTGTACTATTAGATGTTGCTCTCAGGAGAAAGGCAAGGAACTTCCTTTATCACCATCTGGATGACATCCACTCTAAAGTATACATTTTTAATCTTCTGGCTATGACCTAGTAAATACAAAATTCATCCAAAAAATAGTTAGAAATCCCAAATAAGCCAACAGTCAGATGAAGAGGTATAAAAGATCAGGTCCAGAGCAAAGGAGCTTCTGTCCTTAAGGAGTTTGGGGCCAGTATGGTGCCATGTGGAAGACTTCTGGTTCATCAACCTGAAAGTTCCTATTTTTATCTCTCTCTTTTTTTAAAAGGTTTATTTATTTATTTTATACGAGAACTGGGTTACAGGCCAGATGTGTGGGAGGGTGAGAGGATTCACAGAGACAGAATGGGGAACAGAACAGGCAGACTGATGAAATACACTGCTGAGGGAAGCAGCGGGCATGACAGGAGAGGTCTGCTGCGCCATGTGGGACCCTTGCCGGCCGGCCGGGATCAAACCAGTGCTGCAGAGGACGCGAAACAACTTCACAGTGTGGCGCTCAACTGCCTGTACCACCCGGGGAGGCCCAATCTTTTGGATATGTATATATTGTAGAAAATTGGGCTCAAAAGATATGAAAATAGTTCATCATTTAGTGCTAAAATTATTAACATATTAGTGGAAATTCTTTATATTGGCATAACAGACAATGTTTTAGTGTAACAACTTGTAAATACTTGTTTTAAATTCTATTAATTACTAAGTAGGAATTTCTGAGAAAAGGTCTTATTGAAACCATTTTCCATTGAGCCTTTTCTGCAGTTTCATTTATTGCCCAAAATAGGGAGAAATAAAAGTAATATGTGATGCAGTTTGTTGAAAATTTTTTTTTACATTGTGAAGAATAAATATTTTCTTTTTTTATGACATAGCTGTTGAAATTTGGACTAATTGTTTCACTTTCAGCTTTGAAACTGGCATGCAGTAGTAAGACTCTCCTCCCAAGAGGTTTTGCTTATTTCATTTTCCCCCAAATTATTTTTACTGTGGTATGCTAAAATAACATGTCACTGAACATTTAGGTTTATGTGGTGAGGTTTAGCCAATGAAAGCATGAATTGGAATGTAGTTTTATTTGTAGATTGACATGGAAAGGCTTGAAAAGAATCTGTGAGTAGTTTGAAAGAAGTTTTTAGTGAACATGGGACATTTATTCCAATGGGGGTTTCAGTTGGTGTACTAAGGTTAGTGTTTTGAGCCATTTGAGTTACATGACTGTTGGTTCCTATGGTTACCTGAATACTTACTCCAGGATAGAAGCAATGGTCTGTTGTTGGGTTACAGTTTACTTGCTTAAAAGCAGAAATACAAGAATAGCTAAATCAATACAAATATTGATAAATTTAGAAACAAAGTGAATGACCAGAGAAGTGGCCAACTAAGTCTTTGAGGTATTTATTCTCAAATGACAATGGACTTCACCTGGGATTTTAGAGCAACAGCAACCATCACAATCTCAGCCAAACCATCACAATTGAATTGAAAATAAAATTAGGGACAATAGATAACATTTTTTTTTTTTTTAGAAATATTTTTTTTAAAGAGGCATGTATTTCTATTTATGTATTTATTTATTTATTTGTTTGTTTGTTTGTACATGCACTGGGTACAGTCAGAAGCACAGGAGGGTGAGAGAATTCACCAGAGCCAGAGCGGGGAGCAGAGCAGGCAGAAGGACCAAAGTACACTGCTGAGGGGAGCAGCGGGTGGTAGGAGAGGTCTGCGCGCCATGTGGGACCCTCCTCCTGTGGCCGAGGAGCATCCGGGGATCGAATTGGCACCACAGAGGCCGCGGGCAGCTTCACAGCCCAGAGCGCAACCGCTGCGCCACTGGGGAGGCCCAACAGATAACATTTTTTTCCCTGAACTTGCTAAAATAGGTTAAATATCATACAACGAGTTAGGAAGACCTTATGCACGGCCCCTATCCAGCCCCCAACCCTAAGGCCTCTGTAGGGTAAATGATTTTCAAGCTTTTCTGCCCTCCCACCATTAGGATTGCTTGTCTGATGGTGGTTATCTGCATTTGTTACATTGTTATAAGTTTCATTGTTTACTTCTGTGGGCCATGGTAGTAGTACTGAGATATTTGCCAAGAGAAGCAGAGGCAGGAGAGAAGGGGAGAAAGAATGCCAGGAGAAGGAGAGAAGCCCAGAATGAAGACTTGCTGGGGGCTTGGAGGTCTGTCGGCCTCCTGGCCCACCAAGACCCCCGCCTGCCATGTACCTGGTTGCTGCACTACATGTAAAAGCTCAATAAACACCACTCTGAGTTCTTTCTTGTTTCTTGATGTGAGCTTCTATTGCTATATATTTTCCTCTTATTGCTGCTTTTGCTGCATCCCATACATTTAGGATATTGGTGTCCTCCTTGTCATTCAATTCAAAGAATTTTTTAATTTCTTCTTTGATCTCCTCATTAGTCCAGTGGTCTTCCAGTAGTGTGGTTTTTAATCTCCATGAGGTAGGAAAGTTCCTTGCCTTCCTTTTATGGTTTATTTCTAGTTTGATGCCTTCATGGTCAGAAAAGATGGTTGGTATGATTTCAATCTTTGTGTATCTGTTGATGTTTGTCTTGTGCCCCAGTATGTGATCGATCCTGGAGAATGATCCGTGTGCACTTGAGAAAAATGTGTACTCCGTTTTTTTGGGGTTTAGTGTTCTATAGATGTCTGTTAAGCCCAAATACTCTAGGTCCTTATTTAGAGCTTTAGTTTCTTTACTTATTTTTTGTCTTTTTGATCTATCCATTGTTGATAGTGGTGTGTTGAAGTCTCCCACTACGTATGTGTTTTCTCTGATGTCTGTTTTCAGAGAGGACAACAGTTGTCTGATATATTTTGGTGCTCCTTCGTTTGGTGAGTATATGTTAATGAGTGTTATTTCTTCTTGAAGTATTGTCCCCTTGATCATAATGTAATGACCACTGGGGTCTCTTTTTATTTTTTGAGTTTGAAGTCTGTTTTATCTGATATAAGTATAGCTGTTCCTGCTTTCTTTTTTGGTCCATTTGCTTGTAGGATTGTTTTCCATCCTTTAACTTTGAGCCTATTTTTATCTTTTGTAGCTAAATGTGTTTCCTGGAGACAGCAAAAGGTTGGGTTTTGTTTCTTAATCAAGGCTGCAACTCTGTGTCTTTTTATTGAAGAGTTTAGTCCATTTACATTTAGAGTTAATATTGATATGTTAACATCTGTATTTGCCATTGTGTTTGTCTTTCCTTTGATTTTATTTATTTATTCTTTTAATAACTTTTTTTTTTTTTTTTGGCCTTCTTTTGTTGTTATTCGTCCTTCTGAGGTTCTGGCTTTAGGATTCCTTGTAGTATTTTTTGGAGTGGGGGTTTAGTCGTAATGAAAGAAATAGAAGAAGATACAAAGAAATGGAAAGACATCCCCTGCTCATGGATTGGAAGAATAAACATTATTAAAATGGCCATCCTACCAAAAGCAATATACAGATTCAATGCTATTCCAATCAAAATTTCAATGTCATTCTTCAAAGAAATAGAACAATTATTGATGAAATTCATATGGAATCACAAAAAACCCCGAATAGCCAAAGCTCTCCTGAAAAAAAAAAAAGGGAATGGAGGCATCACACGCCCAGACTTCAAACTATACTACAAAGCCATAATCATCAAAACTGCATGGTATTGGAACAAGAACAGACATACAGACCAATGGAATCGAATAGAAAATCCAGAAATAAACCCACAGATTTATGGTCAACTAATCTTTGACAAAGGAGCAAAGACTATGCATTGGAGCAAAGACAGTTTGTTCAATAAATGGTGCTGGGAAAACTGGGTCGCTACATGCAAAAGAATGAAGCTTGACCACTACCTCACACCATACACAAAAATCAACTCAAAATGGATTAAAGAACTAGACATAAGACCTGAAACCATAAAATATATAGAAGGAAATATAGGCAAAACTACGTGATTTGCACATCAAAGACATCTTTACAGACACATCACCCAAAGCAGTGATAGTGAAGGCAAAGATAAACAGCTGGGACTACATCAAATTAAAGAGCTTCTGCACAGCAAAAGAGACAATAACAAAAACAAAGAGAAACCCCACCAACTGGGAGAACATTTTTGCACCCAACACTAATGATAAAGGACTGATCACAAAAATCTGCAAAGAGCTGATGAGACTCAACAACAACAAAGAAAATAATCCAGTCAAAAAATGGGCAGAAGAGCTAAAAAGAAACTTCTCTGAAGAGGAAATGCAAATGGCCAACAGGCATATGAAAAAATGTTCAACATTACTTGTAATCAGGGAAATGCAAATCAAAACTACCATGAGATACCATCTCACACCAGTGAGAATGGCACGTATTAAAAAAAACTAGCAACAACAAATGTTGGCGAGGGTGTGGAGAAAAAGGAACTCTTCTGCACTGTTGGTGGGAGTGCAAACTGGTCCAACCACTATGGAGAGCTGTGTGGAGATTTCTGGACCTACTAAACATAGAGCTTCCATATGATCCAGCAATTCCACTCCTAGGTATTTACCCAAAGGACACAGAAACATCAATTCCAAAGAACACCTGCACCCCTATGTTTATAGCAGCACTGTTTACAATAGCTAAGCTTTGGAAACAACCCAAATGCCCAAAAATAGATGACTGGATCAAGAAGATGTGGTACATATGACCATGGAATATTACTCAGCATTCAAAAAAGATAAACACATGCAATGTGCAGCAACATGGATGGCGCTGGAAGGGATCATGCTCAGCGAAATAAGCCAAAAAGAAAAAGAAAAATACTGGATTGTCTCACTCATAGCAGGAATCTAGAAAACTTAAATAAGGGAACAGAAAAATGAATAACTATAAGAAAGTGAAAATCAGAATCAACAAAAAACTATGAAACAGAGACACTTTTGTGGGGGTGGGGGGCGGGAGGGGAGGGATTGGGATCAGAAAGGGGGGGTTGCAATTGTATGGGGAATATAAAAATAAAATTTATTATTTAAAATAAAATAAAATAAAATAAAACGTGAAATCTAAAAATTTGTTAATGAAATTCTAATATTCAAAAGCAAAAAAAAAAAACAAAAAAAAAACACCACTCTGCCCTTCCTGCCACTACAACCTCTAAATTGACTTTAAATGCTTCCATATGAGTCGTTTCTAATATCCCAGTACACTGTGTGTTTAAATCTTGATTTTTAGTTATTATGGCCCACTTAAAGAAACAGCACTCTTTTTTTTTTAAAGATTTATTTATTTTATACAAGGACTGGGTTATAGGCCAGATGCACGGGAGGGTGAGAGGATTCACCAGAGACAGCGCGGGGAGCAGAACATGCAGACTGATGAAATACACTGCTGAAGGGAGCAATGGGCGGGACAGGAGAGGTCTGCTGTGCCATGTGGGACCCTCCCCAGCTGGCCAGTATTGAACTGGTGCTGCAGGGGCTGTGGAGAGCTTCACAGCGTGGCGCTCAACTGCCTGTGCCACCAGGGGAGGCCCAGAAACAGCACTCTTTAGAGAAACAGCTGATTTCAGGGCCAGGTAGTAAAATGTCTAAGATGAATCCAGGATGTCTTATATTAATATGATATTGTAATTTATTAAAAAAAATTAAATCATTCAGATGACTAAAATATGTATTTCTCACCTATATTTTGTCCTCATCTATAGATTTTGGTTCACATCTCTTCAAACCCTTGGAATTTCCCAAGTTTTGTGAGTGATAGGTATCTTTTGTTATGTTAATGTTGTGTATTTCAGAGATACACCAAAGGGATGGGGTCTGGTTACCAGGGGAATCAGCCATGTGATTAGAGGGTTGGAACTTGCAGTCCCACTTCTTGACCTCTAGAAAGGGGAAAGGGGCTGGAGATTGAATCAATCACTAAGAGCCAATGAGTTTATAAATTATGCCTATGTAATAAAGCCTTCTTAAAAACCTGAGAGAATTGGGATTCAGAAAGCTTCCAGGTTGGTGAACTTATAGAAATCTGGGAAAAATGGTGCCCTTTAGAGGGCATGGGAACTCCATGCCCTTTCCCCATACATCTCTCTATTTGTCTCTTCCATTTCACTGTTTCTGAATTATACCCTTCATAATAAATTGGTTACCTAGTGAGTAAATGGGTTTCCCAAGTAATGTTAATTACTCTAGAACCTAAAATTAATAGAACCTGAAGAGGATGTCCTGGAAAATACTGATCTATAATGAGTTAGTCAGAAGCACAAATGTCAACCTGTGAGTAGCACCTGAAGTCTGAGGAGGGGCTTCTGCAATGCTTCAAGTTGTAGCTGGTTGGTCAAAAGCACAGGTAACAGCCTGGGCTTGCAAATGGTATTTGAAGTAGAGGGTTGTCTTTGTAGACAGAGTCCTTAACCTGTGGAATCTGATGCTATCTCTGGGTAGATAGGTCAGAATTTAGCTGAATTGAATTCAGGTTCAGAAAAGATAAAACATATATATATATATATATATATATTATACATATTATACATGTATATGTGATACGTAACTATGTTATATATAGAAAAAGAATGATAAAAGAAATGCAGCAAAGTTAAATTTGTGAATCTGAAAAAAAGGGTTTATAGAAGTTCATTGCACTTTTTTTTTTGCAACCATGAAATCTCAAAATGAAATTTTAAAAGAAAAATACGTCATTAATATTACCAGTTTGGAGTATAGATAAGGGAGAACATCAAATCCTCAAATCGGTCCATGTCTTCTGATCTCTGATACTCTACATTTCCCTTTCAGAGCCTGAAATGTGTTTAAATGGTCCTGTCTCCTTCCCTGCTCACTAGATCCTGCAGACAGACAATGGCTGCCACCAAAAACAAAAAGGTTTGGTCCCAGCCTTTCTATTAGCTGTCAGTAAAGTTATACACGCAAGTCTCCACAACTACTTAGTAACTAGTTAGTAACTCACCTAGTTACTAGGTGATCCCCTAGTTAGTAACTCACCCTTTTCAGACTTAGCTGAGAAAATTAGTTCCTGTTTCCACTCCTCCCCCTAGAACTTGCTTTCTGCATATTGTTTCCTCCATGGCTTGCTACCTTCCTCCAGGTGCTGTGTGCATATGCAATTAGGCTGCATAGTATGGATTAAATGATCCATCCCTAGGTTGTGCTCCATCTCTCACTGAACTGCTGCTTCATTGGTCAGGTCTTTTGTTTTCCTCTAGGAAACATTGTCATTTAAGTGGGACAGGATTGGCTTCTTTGGAAATCACCAATCTTACCATGAGCTTTCTTCTTCCTTAAACTTATGTCCTCAAAAAATATCCTTTACATTGTGCTATATGGCTTGTCTTCAAAACTTCCAAGGTCAACAGTGTTAAAGAACATTTTCTTTAGTACTTCTTTACTCCCCTGTGCCATTAAGTATGGCCTAATTGTAGACCCTAATAATGTCCTATCGCTCTCTCATTAGTTGGATATGAAATAAAATAGTTCAAATATGTTAAAATAATAGCAAAAGATTATCATGTGATTGGTAATAGCTTTCACATTAAGGGAATTCAAATACCTTGGCTTTAAGATACTTTGTGAAAACGTAACTTTTCAAGCCCTGGAAAGTGGGAAGTTTTGGTTTATGCATTTAATGGGTGATGCTTCCTATGTTAGGATAGCCCTGTCTTTTTTTTTTTTTTTTTAACTTGTGTAAGGAAGGGGAATTCAATGATATTTGTAGAACTTTTAAGACTTGTTTAGACTCTGTAATTATTTTATTTGGCAGTAGGGGTGTAGGTATTGCCCCAATTACTCTATCCTCTAGGGAAAATTTAATGCAAAAGTATCCAGGATTGAATGATTGTGCAGTACTCAGCAATTTCTATTCATGTCATGAGACGCTAGTATAACCAGATTCTCTCTCTTCCAAATAATTTACTTCCATATTTTATATCTACATGAGAACTGGCACTTACCAAAGATCATTCATTTGGTCTTGCTGAAAATGAGTTAATCTTGTATTTATATAAACAGTCGGAAAAGTCTGCAGAAAGCAGCCAATGGGGCTGAGTTCTTGCTGATTTCTTCAAATTTCCCATTGCCCTGCTTCTATTTAGAATATAAAGTAAGTCATTTTTTTCCTCCAGAGGAGGAAAGCTATACTTTTTTTGTCCTTAAGCAAAATAGGAATCAATTGCTGAAATCTGTATTGGTATTTGTAAATGTCTAACTTTTTAAAACATGTTACAGTAAAAAAATAAAAGGGGCAGATCTTGAAAGCAAACATGATCACTGTAAACTACTCAGCTTTGATAATTTCTTTTCCCCATTTAGCCTTGACCTTTCCTGAGACAAAATGATTTATAATGTGAGTGAATTTCTAGAGGGCAGAAACTATGTCATACATGTTCTGAACTTGCCAGTTTCTGTTTTAAGATATAAATCATATAGCTTTTTTATTAGATAAATTAGTTTATATATATGATTGTTTTATTGAATTATTTTCTGGAATACATTTATAGAACATATCTTTGGTGTATTATTTTAAAATTATTCCCTAAAAGATAATTTTAAAATGAAAGGAATAAAAAATATGGTTAAAATATATAATAAAACAAATATGTTAGGGCCTATAAGAAGGCAGAGTGGTTTCTGAACCAATCCTTCCTGTTCCTTCTCCCTTTTCTCAGGTGCAGCACTTTTATCTTCTTTTAATTTTTTTTTGTGAGCTATTGCCAATCCCAAAATATTGTGGTTATATGCTGTTATTTCTTTATTCTGTAGGGAAAGAAGAGACCTTAGTTAATCACACATACTCCTCCTCTTATATCCCAATATTTGTGTAATCATACCACATTCTAAGTACCATTATTGTTGGACTACCTTGTAACTTTAAAAAATATATAAATAAAAAATAATAAATAAATAAATTAATTAATTAAAAAATTATAAGGAGATCTTGATTTCTTGTTGCATGAAGCATAGAGTATATGGTAGCCTCCAACTTTGTACTCAACCCCAGGACTATTTAGGTCACTTTTAGGACCCAATGGCAAATAAAAATACAGAATACCTTGCTTAAAATGAATGTCAAGGTGGAGAAAAAAGGTCATTCAACCAACTGACTGCATAGGTTGCATATCTTTTAGTGGCCGCTGTTTGCACCCCATTTTATCTGTACCACTCTTCTTTTTCACTTCTGTCATCTTTTGCTTTTAAAATATTAAGATTAGTAATATTTTAATTTTGTGCTATAACCTTATATTTTATCCATTCATTTTCTATAGGTTAAGTATCTAAGTTGAAAATGAATGTGTAGTTCATTATTGTGACTGCAAATATTCTTTGCAGAACCCAGTAAATTCTGCATTATCTTTCTTGTCTATCCTTTTGTTTCCCCTGAAGTTTCTAATGGTTCTTTCTTTTGACTTGTCTTTTTGCTTTTATCACATTCTCAGTTTTAATCACTTTTGCCAATCCATCTAATTAGCTACTCAATTAAATTTTCCCCAGAGGCTTCCCCGCAACCCAAATGAAGACTCCTCCACCCTCTTTTTGCAAATTGGGTATATTTCTCTCTAGCCTGCTGCCTGCTTGTTATCCTGGCACTTTTCTTTATTGCATCCATGGTTCAGGTTCATTGATCCTGAGACTTTATTCTTATTGGTTTATCTTTTGTGTTTTAGCAGCTCCTCAAATAACTTTCTGATGTTGTAAATGTGGGAAGGATTTTCTGAGTTCCTTTATTTTCAAAGATGTCTATATTTTACTCAAATTCTTGATTTTTTGATATATAGGTATGAATCAAATTCCAGATTGAAGGTAATTTTCTCTCAGTTTTGAGAGTAATGCTCATTGTTGTTGGTATCCACTGTTATTGATGAGGTGAACTTGATACCTTTTTTTTTACTCTGTCTGATTTTTTACCCTTAAGGTGGTTTTCTTTCCATTCTAGGTATTCTGAATTTCACAACGCTGCAGGTGTGGCACAGGTGTCAGTTACTGGCTACTCTAGGCGTGTGGGGGCACTTTAAATCTGGAGATTGAAATATTTTAATATTTGGACAATTCTCTTAAATATGTTTTGTAAGTTCCTCCCCTTTGTTTTTCCCCATTCTCTTTTTGAAACTCCTATTAATTATATCTCAGACGTCTTTGACTAATACTATATTTCTATTATCTTTGTCTCCTTTAGTTTTCACTTTGGGAGGTTTTCACAATTTATCTTCCAATATGTTTATTAATTTATGTTTTAAAGTCTATAAATTTTACTTTTCTCTAATTTTCCTGCTTGGAGCATTTTGTTGTTACTTTAGGAATATAATAGCTCACTCTTTCTTGCTCTATTAGTCACACCTTATCCATAGCATCTCACTCCTATAAATTTGCTAAAACTCTCTTCTTCCTCTTATTTTCTTTTTCTTTTTTTTTTTAATAGAGGCATTTTATTTATTTATTTATTTGTTTGTTTGTTTTTTGTTTATACATGCACTGGGTATAGTCAGAAGCACGGGAGGGTGAGAGAATTCACTAGAGCCAGAGCGGGGAGCAGAGCAGGCAGAAGGACCGAAGTACACTGCTGAGGGGAGCAGCGGGCGGCAGGAGAGGTCTGCGCGCCATGTGGGACCCTCCTCTGGTGGCCGGGGAGCAGCCAGGGATCGAACCGGCGCTGTAGAGGCCGCGGGCAGCATCGCAACCCAGCGCTCAACCGCTGCACCACCGGGGAGGCCCCTTCCTCTTATTTTCTACATGACTGTTGCCTTATACTCCTTTCATTTCTTTCTTTCATGTAAGGTGAGATATGAAAAGGATGACATATACCATGTTTATGAGGATGTCTTAATCTTTATTTTTAAACTGCTCATGGCATCTAAATGTGTTGAAGATGGTATTATCTAATATCTAACAACTGCTTTCATGCAAATACTATTTAATTCTCATCATACCTCTCACTTGCTATAGTTGGAGGAAAACCAGTATGAATTTATATAGGTAAACTATGATTTATTAAATTATGTCTATCTATTTATCTATCAATCATCTATATGTTTATGATTATGTAGAAAAACCATTCTGCTGTATATAAGAAGGGAATTGGCTCAAGTGGCGGAACCTGTTAATGAAGTTTCAGAGAGAATGGACAAGAGCAATTTTTACTGTTACACTTTGTAATCAACAGAGAGGTATGATGAGAATTAATTGACGAAGATAAACTCTTCTAACTAAATTTCATTTTCTCCCATTCAGTAGTCAATGGACTATTTAATAATCCATCTACAATATTCAGATCAAGTGCCCATGGATGTTATTACAGTTCGCACTTTTCCAAATCTCGCAGCGATTCCCTCACAGTCCCACCATGAGGCTGGTGTGCTAATGCCCAATATATAAGCTAAATGCCAAAAAACGGCTTACTTCGTATCACCACTGTCTGCTGAGCAAGTAGAAGAGAGGCAGAGAGAAGTCTTCAAGAGCTACTAGCCACTTTCTGAGCCATCTCTTTTAAAGTAAAGATCTCTACATGAAAATTATTGAAACATTATAGACAGAAATTTACCTGAGGTGTTAACGAGGTCACCGAAAGCTTAGAGATGCTGCCTAGGCTAATATCCAAACTTACACTTAGGAATTCTCTGTCCCATGAGAAGGAGCTGTGGCTAAACGTGTAAATTATCATTGCAACTGCTACAATCATAAATAGGAAGTGCTATATATATGTGCTTGGCAGTTTAACAATTCCCTCATTTTATACTTTACTTCTGCAGTATTTGCCCCAAACCCTGGATGAAAAAAACACTACAAAAAAATCTATTTACATGCCTGAATAAAGTTAGCTATCAGTTAGCCCATGTATGTTTTAAAATAATAAAAAGATAAAGACCTTATGATTT